ATGCTGATTGGGACAATTTCTAGATTGTAACTTGGCAATTTGATAATAAACCCTTAAAATTGCCAATGATTTGCTTCAATACTTCACTTTTAAGAACACTTCTATGAAAATTATTAATTAAGGGTTAGATGACTTTTCACAAATCACAAAATCGTTTATTATTTCTGAATCTCAGAAACTAAATATCCAGCAATAGGTTATATAATCATTAAGGAGAATTGAAAAAAAATCTTAATGAACATGTATAGCTATTGATCTATATTTTATTGATATTGCAAAAACCAAGTGACAAAGATCCCAAGTGGTGACTTTAGTTGACTGTTTAAAAACAAAATTCAACTGAGTAAATTTTAAAGATCTTACTGGCTTTATTCAGTGATTCATGGATCATGTAGCATTCAACCTAACAGCTAGAAAGGAGATCCAAAGAGCTACACAAGGCAACAGATTTTATAGGCAGAGAGAGCAGAAACAAGGAAGTCATACAAGGAAAAATAGTAGATTGGTTATTGTAAGACTACTTTCTTCACAGGGATGGCAGGGTCTTATCAGGCAGATTATGTAACTAATGCTGGTCAGTTCCTCATTGACTGGTTTAAGATTCCATTTCTGGGAACCTCATATTAAGTTAATTAAGACTTGGTTTGGTGACATGAGGCCTTCACATTAGTGACTCCACTTTGGGCCTGTTTTCTTGTCTTTAACAATTATGTTGGATAAATTTCTTTTTTTTCTAATTTTTTATAATGAACTTATGTTGCTCTGTAGTCAGGAAAAAAAGTGAGTTTATATATATTTTATAGTTACTCTTTCAGTTATTACAATTAAAGGGCAAATAAATATACTTGAAATCTTAATGGGTGTCATTTGCTTCATGAAATATGGGAAATGAGTTCATTAACAAAATATTAGTGAATAATTATTATTGTTATTCTAATATCATGAAACAGTACAAGTTATTTTTCCAAACATTAAAATTTAGAGATTGATTGGAATAAAAGTAGCTGTGCTTTTTATTTTTATCATTTAATGAATAAATTCCTGGAAGCTATATCCTCCCAAAGATATTTTTAACAGTTTAATTGTAAGAAATAATTAACACAGAAAGCTTCTTGTTTGCTTCTAGATACAGAATGCAAGAATATCAAGTGGATTCTAAAAATGTTCAACACATTTTTCTCCCATGTTCTTAATATAGAGAATATTATTGATTTTTTCTTTTTTTAATTCAAAACTTTATCAAAGCCTTAAATTGGCTGCCTAGCTACACCAGGTCTTATGCTATTAACTTTATATCATGGTATAAACAGAAGGGTGCAAAAAAAAATATCCGTAAGTAGTTTTTTTAGGAAAAGAAGTACATGCATCATAGGCCTGATTCAATTATTTCATTGTTTTTATTCTATATTCTCTACAAAACAAGCTAAATGTGTGTATGTTTGTGTGTTGTATAAAACCTGACCATATTCACATATATGGAACTCTGCAATTAACTACAGACTTTCCAGGACCATGAAATCATTACTAAAATTGACCACATCCTGAGCTATGCAGTCTAAGTCAATACACTTCAAAGATTGAAAAGCAAATAGAGAATATTCAACAAGCTTGATTTAAATAAAATTTAAAATTTGATAAAATTTTATAATGTAAAAAAAATGAGAAAATCCCTGTACATTTGTAAACTTGAAGTACAATTTTGAATAATTCTTGAACCAAAGAAAAACATCACAAGATAAATTAGAAAATATTTTGAACAGATGATAATGAAAAATAGAACTTGTTGAATATAACTAAATCTATTCTTAAAGGGAAAATTTACAATCTTAAAAGCACATATTAGATTAAGACCCCTAGAAACAGGAGAGTAAATTAAGCTCAAAGGAAAGTTAAAGGAAGAACATCCTAAAGATAAGAGCAGAAGTTAACAAAGTGGAAAACAGAGACTGGCCACCATCAACAATACCAAAAGCATTCCTTGAAATTTACTACTCCCTACCAATACTGATCTACAAAGCAAATAAAATGGGAAAAGACAAAAATAGCCAACATCACAAGAAAGAGAGCTGTCATTAGAGTTCTGACACCAATAAAAATATAAAAGGAAATTATGAAATATTTTATGCTAATTATTTTCAAAATTAAATTTAAAAATCCGAGAAAAAGACACAACTTAACAAATTGGACATAATACATAGATAGCTACATTTATTAAATCCATATTTAATACTTACCTCAAAAAAACTCTCCAAGCCCAGGTGGCTGTACTAGTAAAATCTGTCATATGTGAAAGAATATTACATAAACTTTCTGAAAGAATATAAGGACAGCATAATCTTGAAACCAACATTTTTCAAGAGCAGTACTAGAGAGGAAATTTGAAGGATGCTCTCTCTCTCTCTCTCATATATATATATATATATATATATATATAATATTAGTATTTCACAGTGTGGTATTGGTACAGGGTTAGAAATTTAGACCAATAAAATAGAGATCCCAGGAACACACAGACACACACAAACACCTATCACTAAAAACAATATAGGGGAGGAAAAAACAAGTAGGAATACTTACGTACTCTACTGGGTATTAAATACTATATTTTTAGAGTAAGTTTTAAGACAGTGATATATTTACACAAAGATAGAAAAATTAACCAGTGGAACAGAATAGAGAGTCTAGAAACAGACTCGTATATATGTGAACATGATTTATGATTGATACATACCTGAGACTATATAAAAAACCAATCCCTAGTAGATTGTGGAGCTAAGCGTCAGTAGTAAAATAATATTTTCAAAAATGACATAGAAAAGGAACAACAACAAAATATGAATCATTATATAAAAGTTTGATCTATTGCCATACATTAAAATTAAGAACTTTTGATCATTAAAAGACACTATTAAGACAGTAAAAATGTGAGACACTGAAAAGAAAAATAAAATGTTCGCAACACAAACAGAGCATATATATATCCCAAATATGGAGAACTCTAAGTGATTTTTGTTAAATCCTCAACAGAAATGCATATATATTGCACCAAACAATATACACAAGCATGTTTATATCATCAATATTCATGATAGCACCAAAATGTACACCAACACTGAAATAAGTAATTTGTAAAATATCAATATAAAATATGTTGAGAAAGAACAAACTGCTATTAAATTCAATGCCAAAGGTGAATATGGAAAGCATAATGTTGAATGAAGTTGGAGGGTGTGTGATAAAGTGTACCGGAGTTGGAGTGGGGATTCTTAAGAGTAAGTTTCTACCTCTTGACCTAGGTAGGGCTTACTTGAGTATGATCACAATATGGTAGTTCATAGAGATTTACCCTTTACCCATTTCATCATGCATAATTCAATTAAAAAACTTTATGTAAATATACAAATACCACATCTTCTTTATTCATTCATCTGTTGATGGATACTTAGGCTGCTTCCATAATTTATAACTGTAAATGGATTATAACCTAAAAAAATTTGAATCACTATGTGGTACACTTGAAACTAATATAATATTGTAAATCAACTGAATCCCAATTTTAAGAAATGAAACTCTGCCATTTGTTAACAACATGGATAGTCCTAGAAGGTATCATGCTTACTGAAATAAGTTAATCAGAGAGAGACATGAAATAAGTCAATCAGAGAGACACAAATACTCTATGTTATCACTTACATGTGGAATCTAAAACATAAAACAAATGAATATAGCAAAACAGAAACAGACTCACCGGTACAGAGAACAGACTGGTGGTTACCAGTGAGGAGGACCATGGTGGGGAGAGGAAGGATGGGGGTAGGAGATTGAGAGGTACAAATGACTATATATTAAATGGATAAGCTACAGAAGAGTACCGTACAGCACAGGGAAATATAACCATTATTTTGTCATGACTTTAAATGGAGTATAATGTATAAAAATGTTGAGTCGCTGTTTTGTACACCTGAAACTTATATGATGTTGTAAATCAACTTTACTTTAATAAAGATAGATAAAAGAAGAGGCAGAATGTCACATATTCATAATATAGGATGACATAGGTGAATGTTACATGGGTGCCTTACAATATGAGTATCTCAAAAAGCATTATAATTAAGGTTACTTGCTGGGTAGGTAAACAAATAAATTGACTAGACAGTGGATCTACCAAATTTTTCTATAGTGTTAGATAACAAATATTTTTGGGTCTTCATGTCTCAGAGTCTTTGTTGCAACTATCAACTCTGCCATGAAAGCAGCCTTAGATTATATGTAAAGAAATGTGTGGTTCTGTTCCAATTAAACTTTATTTATAAAGAGGTGGCAGGCAAGATTTGACCTATGGGCCACTGTTTCTAATACCTGGATTAGATGATTAGTTAAACAGATGGCTAGAGTGAGTGAGACAAGCATATCTACAAGTTGAAGCATTTTTTCTCATCTTTCTAAAAAATGGGCATTTAAAAATTATTGCTGGAAATCTCCTAATTAAGTTATATTTAGTTAAATTATTTTTTTTAATTTTACTTGCTATGCTTCTTGTTATGGTTTATATTTCCACAACTAATTACTCGCTGCTGTATTACTATTTTCAACCTAAAGATATATAGTACACCAGATAACCATATCTAAACCTGATCCCTTTCAATAATTTTCACTCACAGAGAAAATTAACAATGTAAAAAACTGAAGTAGAATATTATGCTCTAACATTGTTTTAGTTATTTTTGAGAAACATCTGTTTATTATCAGGATTTGTTTATTTCTTTAGGTGATTGCTACAGTTTGTTGTTTTATTAAAGTTTAACTTTATATTTATGTGCTAAAATCATTGAGGATTTCTAATTTAGAATAGATTAATCTACTTCTGGCTTTGTTGGTTTTATGGTGAGATAATCTATGTACTTAAGTCTTTCTTCTTTTGTTAATAGCGTAACTAATTGGTCAAACATGTTTTTACAACACATGCTAAAACCAAAAATTTGTTATCTAAATGGTTGCAGGCAAGAATTGGATCCATGTAAAGCTGAACTGACTATTCTAGGGAAGACTATAAATTCAAGCGAATCTATTGGTTATGTACCAGGAAAAGCACTGCCAGAATCAGGGTCTGTCTTTATTGGTGGACTTCCAGATCTTCATGAAGCAAACCAGGTATTTCTGTTGATGACGTAAAATATATTCCTTATGTTATTGTATGAAAAGGAAAAGTGGGAAAACTTTAGAAGTTTCCTCGTTAGTGGGATTATCTACATGGTTTCAAAAAAATTTTTTTTGCATTCTACTAACATATATATCGCCATCCATTCTGCCAAAGTGTACTAAAAGTGTATTGTTCTCATTACTTAGAGTTACTCCAGTGTCAAGCTGCTTTCCCATCTTAACATGCATTATATTTCATGGTAAAATTAAGTGTGTGTGCTTTTCTTCACCCCTATGCTTGTGATTTCCCTGGATATATGAGGAGTTGGCTCATACATCCACACATAAAATATGATTCAAGAAATGGAACTGGAACTCCATCCCCCAGTCTCTGCTTCACAAAGGGTTCCCAAGTATAAGAACACTCTCTACTGAGTTCTGTGCTTATGCCAGCCTACTCGCTAAATCTCCATTTAGGTAATTAGCTCATTGTTATCATTATTAACCTGTATTTTAGGATGAGAGCTTGCATGCTTACTTAAATGGTATTGATTATATGGTTCCACTTTGTTATTATAGGCCATTACTTTAAACATTTGACATTGCTTGTTAAGTGTACCAATAGCTTAATGTACCATAAGTGTACCATTTATGGATATTTTCTCCTACTGTATTTATCATTGTACTCTACATATTTGAACATACTATTTTTATATTTTTGGAAATATAAAATGCTATTACTTAAAATTCTCACAAGTAATATGAATTGGGTGTAAATCTACTCACTATTTGATAACTATTATGATTCCATTATAAGTAAACTTAAAAAAAATCACAACAAATATACATAAAGGACAAAAGTCTCCTGCATAGTTGATGTGACACATATGCCTTGAACAAAATAAGGAAATTACATAACTGTAAGCATATGGAATTTACTTTAGATTCAGCTTTACTCCATTAACAGTATATTTATTTATCATTAAACAGACTTATGGGCCTTTTTCTATTATATTAATACACTTTATTGACTTTTTCCTAGATAAACCAGCCTATAAGCTCAATAAGATTAGAAAATATCTGTTTTGTTTACCTTTCTATCCCCCAAGGCAAGGATAGTTTCTGTTACATAGTAAGTTCTCAATAAACATCTTTTGAATGAATAGTTCAAAAATGGATTAAAAGATTCTAAAAATTTACGTAAATTTATCTTTAGTCATTTATATTTGGATTGTTCTCATTTCATAACTATTATATATTTCCCAAATAAAAGGTGAGTTTTCATATAGAATTTAATTTTTGTGAGTATACATTAATTAAAAGCAGGTTCTTAAGACTCAAGGAGATACACAAGTATCTCTAATACAGATAGGTATTTACTCTAATTGAAATACAAACAAAATATGGAGCCAATATAGAAAAACAGGAAAGGAAGCCTTCTGATCTCCTTAGGGGAGTAAGGGAGTTTGTAGTTAGGTAGAGATCTGAGGGATGATCAGATACATAATACATAGACGGTCATTGCAGGCAGACAAAACATCACACACACACAGGCTTAGTAATGGGAAGCCCTAGGAAAGGAAGAGTGGGAGTAGAAGTAATTTATTACTGGGGAGACATGGATTTTAATGTGAATTGAGCAGGAGGAAGGCTTGTTGTTGGAAAATTCATCACGCAGCCTGAGCACAATGGATCCTGAATGAAATACAAAAAAGTGTATATTTATAGGCTGGTGCCTGGAGGAACCATTTAAGAAGTTTGAACAAGGAATGGCATGTAGTTTTCACTCAGGTAGCAACAAAAGTATAGGATTGAAAAGGTTTAGACTACAGGTCAAGAAATGGCAGTTAGTCAATAAGCATAATTAAACAAGAAATGATGCTGTGCAATAAGAGTGAGAGGATGACTGCAGAAGCCAAGGTATTTGTGAATAATTATAGATACGAAGATAGAAAACTTCAGAATTTGAATGACCAGGTTGGCTTATGTAAGCAGAGAATTCATGTGGAAATCACAAGTTTGTTTACAGGAACAGAAGGCAGGTTCATTTTGGTAGTTGTTACTTTGGGCGGGGATAATTTTCAAATATTTAACAACTGGCTTGCAAATATCACTACCTCATCAGTTCTTTGCATCATTACATTCCTGCTGCACATCATCTATATCAGCAGAACATTGTGACATAGAATAATTCATTTGAAATATGAGCCTTGAGTGATGTCAGCAACACAGTATAGTGAGATGTTCTGTCTCTCCCCTTCAACCTACAACTAGTAAACTATCCACAACTCAACAAAGATGCTTCTGCCCAACAAACCAGGATGCTGGAGAATTCCTCACATCTGTCTATCTAAAGGAGCATGCACTGGAACACACAGAGGAGGCAGAACCAGGGAAATGGCAGAGGCAGTGCCTTCAATCCTGGCCCTCTAGCCATGGCAGCTGAGCCTGCAGCTGCAGAGAATCCAGCAGCAGCAGGGAAGGTGGCACAGGTGACCCAGGCCCCCAGCCACAGGCAACAGAGGAGCAGCAGCAGCAGCAGGGTCAGGGGCCCCATCCCCACAGCTACAGAGACATCTCCACTTCCAGCACCCACCCACCCACAGTGGCAGAGCCTGCAAACTTAACACTGATCATGGCAGAGGTGCCCAGATTCCCTACCTTTCTTCCCACTGAGACAGTAGAGCCTGTGGCGATCCCAGACACAGAGAAGGAGCCCAGCATCCTGGACCCCAGGTGGCAATGACAGTGACATTGACAGCAGCAAGGCACCAGTGACCCTGGAAGCATAAGTGGTGGTAACAAGGGCACAGGAATACACCTTTGGCAGAGGCCATGGAGAGTGAAAATTACTGACTCTCAAGTATGACCAGAGGTGGCTCAGGTGAGAGAAACTGAAAACTTATGCTATATCAATGCCTACTGCAACAACAAAAAAGACCTGTAATTTCTCACCTATTGAATCGATAGAATCAAGTAGAGAGAGGCTTCAAATGCATCATCTTAGGAACAAATCATCAGGCACAATTAAGAACCATAGTAACACTGTACCACAGAAAGAAAATTACTATTCTCCATAAACCAAACTTAGTGACACTGCATATTGCAATTTGATAGAGATTTCAAAATATTTGTCATGAAGTAAAGCAATGAGCTACAAGACAACTCAGAAAGCAGTTCAGTATGCTCATGGAAAAAATCAATGAACAAAATGAATCCTTTACCAAAGAGATTGAAACTCTATAAAAGAAACAGACAGAAATTCTGAAACTGAAGAAATTGACAAACAAGATGAAGAATGCATTAGAAAACATTAGAAACGAGCAGACCATATGAAAGAAAGAATTAGTGAGCTTGAAGATAGAAATCTAGAATGATACAAGTAGAAGAGTGAAAAGAATAAGGTATAAAATAAAATGAGGAAATTCTATGAAACATATCTGAGTCTTTTAGGAAGAGCATTAGGGTAACGGGTGTCCCAGAGAATAGAGGGGGAAGGGAACAGAGAGTTAATTTAAGCAAATAATACCTGAGAACTTTCTAAACCTGGGAAACTTGATATACAAGTCCATGAAGCTAAGAGAATACCTAGTTACTGAAATGCAAAAAGACCTCTCCCAAGACAGACTATATTAAAATTGTCAAAAGTAAATATGGCAAAGAAAGAATTTTAAAAGCAGCCATGGAAAAAGGGATGATAACCTACAAAGGAACCCTCATTAAGTTATCAGCAGATCTCAGCAGAAACATTACAGGCCAGGAGGGAGCATAATGATATTCTCAAAATACTGAAAAATAAAACCTGTCTTACAAGAATACTCTATCCATCAAGGTTGTCCTTCAGATATGAAGGAGAAAAAAAGTCTTTCCCAGAGAAACAAAAGCTGAGGGAGCTCATCAACTCTAGCCTTGCCTTAAAAGAAATGTTGAAAGGAGCTCTGCTACCAGAAAACAAAAAGTCAAAAGTACATAAAACAATGAATAAGGTGATAAATAGACAATAAGAATAAGAAAATTGCAATTCTATATCAGAATAGGTTTATAAACACTTTATTATATCATAAAGTTTAAATGACAGAAAAGAGAAAAAATAACTATAGCTACTTCAACTCGGTAACAAACTTACAACATAAAAAGGGAAAATTTGGAAAACAACAACACAAAAGGGAAAGAGAAGATAGACAGAACCTGTATAGGTAAATGAAGATAAGATGCTATCAGCAGAAAAAGGACTATTTTATCTATACAATGTTTTATACAAACCCCATGGTAACCACAAAACACAAATTTAGAGCAGAGACATTAACATAAAAAAAGAGAAAACAGAGAAAATCATCATAGAAAACCACAAAACCAAAACAACAGACAGAAGCCCAAGTAATAAGAAACAATGGAGATATAAAGCAAACAGAAAACAAAAGATCAAATGGCAGTAATAAGTCCTCATCTATCAATAATCACCCTAAATATAAATGGATTGAATTCATCAGTCAAAAGACACAGAGTGGCTCAGTAGATTAAAAAGCAAGACTGACTGTATGCTGCCTTCAGGAGACTCACCTCAGCTCTGAAGACAAACATAGGCTCAAAATGAAAGGATGGATAATGGCAGCCAAAAGAAAGTAGGTGTAGCCACACTCATATCAGAAAAAAAATAGACCTCAAGTCAATAAGCATAACAGGCAAAGATGAATGCTATAGAATGATAAAGGGGAAAATTGATCAAGAAGACATAACACTTATTATTATATATGCACCTAACATAGGAACACCAAAATATGTGAAGCAATTATTAACAAACTTAATGAGAGAAATTGATAATAATAGTAGGGGAATTTATCACTCCACTTACATCAATGGATATATCATCCAGACAGAAGGTCAACAAGGAAATAGTGGTCTTAAATGAAACATTAGACCAGATGGATTTGTTAGATCTGCACAGAACATTCCATCCAAATGTAGCAGAATACACATTTTCCTTAAGTGCACATGGAACTTTCTCAAGGATA